ATTGGTGGGGTCTTACACTCCAACCCTACACAGGCACTTGAGATTCTCTTTCATCTGCCGCCATTAGATTTACTGAGTCAGCAGATGGCTGCAGCATGCTTCCGTTCTTGCTGCTTGGGGACACGTAGTGGGAATAATTGATTATGTTCCCCCGGTGCTCTCCCATTCGCGAGGAACTTTATTCTGCTTAGGCAAACATGGCTAAGCAAGGAGCTATTGAGGGCGGATCCGTCCATTTTTATACGGACGGATACAAAGTCAATGGCAAATTAGGTGGGGAGTTTATTCTGAGCCATTGATGTTGTGCTCTCCTTTCGTTTATTGGATCATTGCAATACCTTTAAGGCTGAGGTGGTCGCGATTGCGAAGGCTCTGCGCTGACTTGGCTGCAATGTGGTATCGGCCGGTATCGTCAATATTTTCACTGACAGCCAGGCCGCAATAAGAGCATTGAGTTCTGAGATGTCAACATCCATCATGGTACTGGACTGCAGGTCGTCTCTTAACAAGATGGCGCGGCCGTTTCAAATAAACTTAGATTGGGTCCCCGGGCACAGTGTGATTCTAGGGAACTGTAAGGCCGACGTAATCTTGCAATAAACTGTAATTTTGTGAGGCGTGGACCTGCCATTGGGATTCCATCTGAAAAGAAGGCCTAGGCTTTCCTCTAAGAGCTCACAGGCTGCTGGTGTGCAACGCAACCTTAGCTGGGCCTTCGAAGATTTCTTGTGTCTTATTTCTTTGGACGCACTGCAGATTTAGCGGATGTAAGCGTTAAGGGTTTGATCCGATTTTTATTAAATATCAAATCATTATCAAATAGTTTTATTAAAGACTGACGACATTCCACCATGCAAATGGCTATTAGCAAAAATAACTAATACATTTTCTGATGAAGATGGTTTTGTTCGTGTGGTGGAAGGAAAATCGGTGGAAGGCAGTTTCAAAAGAACCATTGCAAAAATTTATGTCCTTCTACTTGTTTTTTATGCGTAATTGTTTTGGACAGGGTTTCCTATACGTTCGGAAACTGCTATCCAACTCTCTGAGGGATGTCTCCGGTCGGGACGGGGATATTGTTTTCGAAGGCCACAATAAGCCTCGAATGGCTGCGATGACCCGGGGAATACTCCTGCCCCACTCAGGATTCATTATCGATGCCTATGTTGTTCAATGGATCATATTTTCCGATATTTACACTTTTTGCATTTTCTTGTGGCTACGATAAATTATACTTACTTTGTTAAAATTCGCCAATGTACGTCATGTTGTATCCATCGTTGCACTCAGCAAATCCACAGGAAGTGTAAAGAAAACACAACTTTCATATTGGAGTTGAAGCGGAATATTTATGTATTTTTACATATATTTGATTTACGTTTTTCTGTGTAGTTTACCTTTTTCCGTGGGTTATGATTTGATAACCGGTTCAGTTTTTAATCTAATTATTTTGACATTGTTTTTAGTAATGTTGCGAACTGCTTTTATAAAATTTATATACACAAAAAAAGAAACCACATTTGAATTTAATTTTTCACAAACGTCACATATAAACAATCTTAACCCTTAACGACATTGTTTAATGGAATTGAAATTTCACACAAGCGAATAAATTAGTTGGGCCGATGTGTTTGATAAAATTTGTTGAAATTGCTTGGCTCCTGCTGATAGCTGCCATACAACTTCAATAGTAGTATGGCCATATATTAGAAAATATTGAGAACAGTACTGAAATTTTGCATAAATTAGGGTAACTTAAAATTATAGTCTGTCCAATAGTCAGACATGACATGATAAATTTCGTACGGGTATTGAGTTGATACGGCCAACTCTATTTTTTCTCGTTAATTATTGAAGATCAACCAGAAACTATTTTATAGACGTAGAATTTCATACAAAAACGTGAACAATTATTCTATTCTTCAGCCTTTTAAATTCTACTTTTCAGTTTTTTGGATGGGAAATTTTTACTTAAGAAAAATATACTGAAAATTGCAATATATGAAAATATTAAAGTAGGTACAAAAACCAAATAGTAAAATTGTAAGTGACAACTTGAACCAACATTCTTCTTAATAAAGTTGGGTCAAACCAAGTTATTAAAAAGAAAAGTATTGTAGCAGTTTTCCCTTCAACAAGTGAAAATACTGCTTTTAAATACAGTCTATGTATACCTACTAAACTATTAAAATTATTTTCATTCATATATTATGAAACTATTTCTAGGATTGCATACATTTAGGATGAATGATTTATGCAGTCTTTGAAATAAAGCAAAATTTAATTTGAAGAGGGGTTAACATAACGCTCAATTTTAAGGGTTAATTGTGTGAGTTAAGAAAAATAATTATATTTTTTAATGTTATGGAATCGACCGTTAGCTTTTTGCATTTATAGAAATTTGTAAAAGCTTGTGGTTCCGGAAATATAAGGCGTCAAAAATTCAAATTTTACAAGGGGCAATAACTTGAGAGGGGGTGGAGATGGAAAAAAAATTTCTTCTAAGGAAATAAAATATTTATTACTGTTCAAAAGCTGCTAAAATTTGAGGCTCCTACAACCTCGGGTCTAGAAGAAAAACTACATCAAAAATTTGGAAAAAACGGATTTAAGATAACGGTAAATTTGAACGGCCATTTTGTTTTTTTAAAGTTTAACTATAGTATGCATCGATAGGAGAAGCAAGCCACTGCCTTTCTACGATTGCAAAATTTAAAATATGCTTATGGTTTTACTGCAACAAATGTTTAAAAAATTGCATTTTTAGAGTTTTAGGGGGATATAACTTCTAGAGGGGGAGAGATAGGTAAAAATTTTGTTCTACAGAAATAAGTTTCTAGTAAAGATCTATGTACGTATTAAATTTCAGATTTCTATCTTCAAGGGTGTAAGAGTTTTGTAAACATGTTCACGGACGGACGGACAGAGTGAAACCGATAAGCACTTTTTTCAAAATTTTTTTGTAAAAAAAAAAGTGTTAGCAAAATTAAAAATTAATGTTTTTTTGAACATTTACAAATCTCAAAATTGATTATTAAAAATTTTAATAAACATTATTATTGTTCATTAAAAAAAATGGAAATCAACATCATATGCAACAAAATCATCAACATTATTTTTAAAATTTTTTAAACATTTTTTAAAATCCTCAAAATATTAAAGTTCCAACTTTTTTATTTATTTTTTGATTTTATTTTTATTGTTTTTATGTTTATTTTGTGCCCAAAAGAAAAAATTTTTAATTTTTAGTTTCTAAAAACTTGATTTTGGTGTACGTAGCGACATCTAACCAAAAATTGTTTCAATTCACAATTCTTACTTATTTCTGGATCAACTATAATTGAAAAAATTATTTTTAAGATTTCAATTCGAAGAGCCTAAAAAGGAACAATTAGATGCCGTTAATTATTCATTTCTCTTATAATATACGAAAATAAAAATAAAAAATATTAAACAAACGAAAAGGACGTACTTCTTCAATAGTTTTCTTCAAACTAAAAAATAATTTCAATAGAAAATAAATTAGGGAAAAACAAAATTTATATCGAAGTTGACCCAATTGAACCTAGTTCGGAAAATTTTTGTAATGCCTTATAGCTACCAGGGCAGTGTATTGAAATAACTAATTTCATAAAGACGAAAATTTTTGAGCAATTGTATACATATGTATGTATTTAGTTTTGCGGAATGGTATTAAATTCCTTTCAAGAATCACAACTCTGTTATATTTCAGTTTTGTATGTACAATTTCAGTTTTTATGAAAAACAAAACCGAGTTAAAAAAATAGACGTGCTTTTCCAATGAACAATCGAAAAGAAAATAAGAAAATTAAGTATTCATATAAAATATAGTAATTACGAGAAAGAGTAAAGTGGACCACACCAACTATGTGATATCTGTACGAATGTGTTCTAATAATAACACAGCAGTCGACTACAGCTCTCTTACAGCACCTGCTAATATTTTAGTAGAGTATTGGCACTTGGATCTCCATTACTCAACTTGTTCGTCTAAAAGCATATTTACCCTTAAAAATTTCGGGATAAAAACAATCGTGAAAACTATCGTGAGAATTTAAACGACCAAATTTTGTCGTAATTCTGGCTTATACTTATAGAACCACAATCAAATTTATATTATGTATTTATAATAGCAGCCCTACTTACACAAACTCTCTTAAGCAAAATTTAGATACTGTGGACACTGTAGGATTCCAATATATAACGAAACAGCGGTGGCTAATGCAGTAACAACTGCAAGCAACCTGTAAAAATTTGGTTAATCTAACTCAATGCATTTTTGCATCATTGCCGGGACAGACGAACAAAGGAATCGATTTTAACAAACAGAAAAAGCTATCTCATAACATTGCGATTTCCAAGAAATTGTAAACAAAAAATATGCTAAGAGAAGGTAAACCCCAAGGACCTACATTCGATGACCCGGCCAAATCGACTCAGAACTCGACGCTGATCAAAAACATGTTCTCGTGTCCATATCTCTGTTAATTTCTCAGTCATATTGAAACAAATTAATAATTTGTTTATTTCTTGCTATTTTCGTTTAAAATTTTTACGAATAATGTAAAATTAGTCTTAAATGTAATTAAATGGAAAAAAACACACTTTTAATATACATAAAATAAATTTAATTAATCTGTCATTTCATTAACACGCAAAATTTAAAAAATTGCGTACCAAAAGTTATGCAAAATTTTTTGAACTGTTTAAAAGTAAAACTCACTAAATACAAAAACTAATTGGTTATGCGCAAGTTAACTCAAGTAAAAATACTTCGTTTAATATTAGTTTTTAGCATTTGAAAAAAAGGAATTTAAAAAAATATTTCATAATTTAAAAAAATTATGAAAAAATTTTTCATAATAGCAAAAATAGTGTGAACATTTTTGTTCTACACCAGTTACCTTTTTATACTTACATAATTTCTAATAAAATAAAATTTGTTTATTCAAATTAATTACATAACTGAATTCATAAAACAAGATACACCAGTTTAAATTAAATTAACATAAACTTTTAGTAAATTTGAATTCTGGCTGACATTATACAACTAACAAAATAATTATTGTAATTTTTTAATTAATAAAAGTAATTGATTTATTTATTTTCTTATAAGCAGAATATGTAAAAAAAATTATTAATAGCAGTGAAAAGAAAATTATTCCCAAATTCTAAAAAAATTTATGTTGATTGGAATTGCTATCATTGTTATTGAATTTCGCAAACTATTTTTTAATTAACTAGATAGGTACCTACCCTACTTTACTAACAAATTTTTTTGAAACTATTTCGATACTTAACAAACAAATTTCTTTGAAACTATTTTGATTGATATTGTTTGCATTTTAATTTCATTATTTAAAAATTTTATTCAAAATATTTATAAAATTTTATGAAACGCATTTCGTATTACAATTGCCTTACATTTGTATAAGCCACTTAAATAAAAATAAAAAACTTATAACATACATTGCTGCTCACCAAAAATATTATTTGCGCCAATTTTAAGAGTAGATAAAACTCGATTTGAGATGTTCAATTGCTTGCTACCACTACGGAAATAATAATTATAAGATTGAAAAAAAAAAATAATAAAACAAAAAATATACAGATATCATATTTGCATAAATATGAAAGATGACAATGAAATATTCACTTACTTATTTTGAAAACCAAGAAAATTATGTAGATAGGTACAATAATTTTGAATCCATAAAAATTATTTTTTGAAAGCTAAAATGTATCTTGCATCAACAAGCGGAATGCAATTTCTATTAAATTTTGTGGAATGTCTTCATAATGACACACATATAGTTCTCCACATGGGGAATCTATTAATCTTCCAATGACCCAAAAAGGTACCGAATTTCCAATACTATCAATAGTGACTAAATGTACACCATGTTCTTTAACTTTATTTAAAGATTTGCGTTGATTAGACACATTATTAAAATCTATTATAGCGCTCCTATTTCTTGGTGGCATACTTTGTAGAACACTATGAATTAATTCACAACAAGATTTAAATTTTTCTAATATTTGATCAGGCTTTTCTATATGAGAAATAAGAAGTCCTGAACCATAATTAACTTGTATTACGTGTGATATATAACATCCTTTTCTTTTGAACATCCCTTCGATTAATATTCCAAATTCACTTGACTTGGGTCCTTTTTTATAATCTGAATTTTTATCAAATTCACTTGCACTTTTGAAACTACTTGGAAATCCATCCCACTCTGAATCCATTTCGGAACGGTCGTCGTCTCTAATAACAGATTCTTCACTATGAGTTTGGCTATTATTAGAATGTCCACTTGTTCCGAAGATTGGTAACTTTACATCATCAGTTTTCCTTATGCCATCAAATTTCAGATAACTTTTATTATTCATATCTTCTTCACATTTTTTAGCATCTATAATATTTTGAGATATACTTTTAATACCTTTCTCGTTTAAATAATCCAAAGTATCCTGAATTTCTTCGATATAAAATGCGGAAGGATATATTATTTTTGAAGTTTCTTTCGAATTATTAACGTAGTTTGTTTGCAATAAACACGCAATTGTTAAATTATTTCTGGTACAGATAACTACAAAATACCTTTGTTCTGATTGTTCAAAGGGAATTTCATGCCAAAATATTAACTCTTGAATAAAATTTTTTTCAATTGCCTTTAAAATACCGCTAAAATTTAATATTTGCTTAATGGGATTAGAATGTGAAGTTGGCAATTGATTTGCTAATAAATAAGTGTTAAAATAAAGCAGTGAACCACAAATAAAGAATTCGCGATGTGAAATTAACGGCTCATCATTCCAATCTCGGTAATCCATCGCTGACATCTCGTTTAAAGCATTATGTATTTTAGCTTCAGTATCCTTCGGTAATTTCAAAAAACTTGTTAAATTAAGGAACGGGGTTAGAATACTGTCAGAAGTTTGAAAATTAATATTCAAGATTTCGCAAATATCTTTCAATTTTTTTTCATTCTCGCTATTTATTGGAAGGTTTTTTAAATGAAAAATCGTTAAATATTCGAAAAATTCACTGACTACCCCCAAAAGTGTGTTGCCTTTAAAATTTTTGTTATTTACACCAAATATCAGTAAAGTATTCTCAATATTTTTATAGTAAACGTTGTAAATTTTGTCCCCCAAATTCAGGGAGGACAAAAGCAGCTCCGTCTTAAAATTATTTTTAATAATTGACTGTAATGTAAAAAAACTTCCCTTCGCACTTAAAATATCATTGACTTCTTTTTTTGGGTATGAAAACAACACATCTTCACAAATTTCATTAGCCATGAACAAAATAATAAGAGTCACCACTTCATTAATATCCTTTAATATATCCATAAAAAAATGATTGTAATGCATTGCATAATTATGAAAACTTGTAATTGGTTTTTGTTCTTTTAATGGTTTGTTAGCTGATTTTGTATTCCCAGAATCTGTATTGCATGTACTACGTCCAGTACCCGAATTTCTCGTGGTATTGCGTGGCTCATTAATAGGCATTGAACCAACTGGTTGTAATAAAGATTCCATATAAAACAATTCTCCTTCTTCCGAGATACAATAATCCCACTTGCACGCATTCCTTTTGTTTGTTGCTGAGTTTATTGATTCAGACTCCGATGAACTCATTCGATCTTCTGTTGCTAGTAACCTATTCATCTTCCTTTTACAATATCTAAAAATTTCTTACCTCAAAAAGCCACTATAATAAATTAACCAAACCTTATGTAAAATGTTTCCATTACTTGAACTCACTTCAAAAACTTTGGTTTTTATTTTTATTCAACTATCTTCATCTTTTTTTTAATCAGGTTTTAAACTGTTCATTTATTCTTGCTTTTAAATAAATTTTTGACATTTTTTTTGTATTACCCACTGCTGACAAGGAACAAGTGGGACTTGGATACAATTTTATTCATTTAGATACATTTTTGCTTTAAATTTAGCGTGGCTGCAAAGATACTCAAATTTGCTAAAATGCAGCAATTGGCTACATTTGAAAATTTATCTGAAATATGGATACATACATTTCTTCCTCAAACACTAAATAAATATTACAAAACTGTCAAAGTGCTGCTAATATTAAATTGCGAAATTGCTTTATTTGCAAGAAAAATGTTATTTTGTTGCTTTACTAAACAGATTTGAAAAATTTTCAGAAGATAGTAACAAATTTTTACAATATAAGACGACTTAGTACAATAATTCTACTTTACGAGGCTGGATACATTTTGGATACATTTTGTTTTCGAAATTGGATATATTTTGTTTTTACCGAGTGGGAACACTGCGTGACAGATATACTAATATTTTGGTCAAGGTGTTACCACATTGTTTTTCAATTCTAAAACACCCTTTTAAATGAGGCAATACAGAAAATTATTCCAAATGTCATTAATCATTTTTTAACGCCGTTCGAAGCATCGTCGTGAGATATTTGATTTTTTGTTTTGGTCAATAAGTAGAAAGGAAAGTGTATAGTGGGTTTTTAAAAATTTTTACAATATCATTATAAATCACCTTTTTGATCAAAATAATTTTCATTAAAATTTGATTTACCCTATATATAAATTTTATTTTACATATGCATGTATAATATAATACATTATATAAGTAAAGCCAAACTCACATTCCATCAATCATTTGCGAATAATAAGATATTCGTAGCGCAAAATTGTTGAAAATGAATGATAATAATTTTTTATAGAAGTTTCTGATACAAGCTACAGGATATTTTATGTATGTATATATATATTTTCAAACATGTAGTTCTGAACGTCGATTCAGTGGTTTACCTTAACGATTCATTTATATTTTAGCATTTATATTTTATTTACAATTTTAGCGCCTCGAGAAAGTTCCAGTAAAACGATTGCTACGATAATGTTAATTACAAATTCAGAATTATTGAAAGATTTAAGAGCACCAACCACAATTAATTTTCAATTTTTAAAAGAGTGCTTTTGTTCAGTTAATATATTATGTATTTCAATAGTATCTTTTACCTTTGGTGTAACAGAAACATGACGCATATTTGATTAATTGATTAAAAAAATCAAAAATGACCGTCTGGCATAAGAAAGTTACAAAAACTTTATAAAACTTGAAAAAATTTTATAAAACTTTAGTATACAAAATTTAATACTTTTATAAAAGTGTAAAGTTTTTTTTAAATGAGAAAATATTATGATGACTCAATTTTGAAAATTTTTTCAAATTTTTTAAGAGTACAATTTAGTGTTTTAACAACTTTAAAAATTTTATAACTCTTTGTTTTGGTTATGTCATAAAGTTTTATTTTTTTTTCTTAACCATATCTTAAACACTTATTTTTAATTTAGAAAAAAAATGGATAGCAAAAGACTTCTAAGCTAAAAGTTAAGCCACATGAAAATAAAAAAATGGAACAATGGAGGAAAAAAGAAACTAAACAAATTTGACATAGTGTATGAATTTCACTTTTATTGTAAACCGCAATGGTTTTGTATTTTATTTTGACCTATAATTATAATTATTAATTAAAAATTTAGTTTAATGCAGAAAATTTGAAATTAAAGGTTTTTTTAATTTAATAAAGCAAAATAAATGTAACACTTACGTTGTTTAGTTTAATTTTTTTTGGGGGGGGGAATGGGCAGCATGCGTAATACAGTTGGTAGTTTCCTGCTATATCAACCTAGCCTCTACTGCTCGACGCCAAGTCTCACCTGCTAGTGGTCCCTCCTGCTACGCTGAGCAACTAGAGCCAAAGATTCGGTTCCAACCCGGGTGGAGTAACTCTGGTCAGCAAACAAACGAGAATGGCGGACAAAAGAATTATGCAATGGATAAAACAACTGGATTGATTACCCCAGGTGGTAAACCAAAAAAATTGGTGAATCCACCCTCTGCGGAGGCCGGCCCCACGGATTCTGGGGGGGGGCCAACTATTGCTAACTTCAACTTCGACGAGTACAATTTCACCAGGTACCAGCTCAAACTCTGTTATCGGAAGTAAAGTAACCGGGCGTACTCCTTCAAACTTGGGCTCTATAACTATCGGTATGGAGGAATATGAAGGGTTGCGCAAAAAAATTATTGAGAACGAAGCTGTTACTAAGAAGCTTTTGGAGGAGCTCAACATCTTAAAAGCTGAAAATCTAAACTTAAAAACTGCGCTATATGCGAGTATAAACAACTGTGATAAGAATAAAAATAAAGATTCCTGCTCAAGTGAAGAAGACCTCACTGGATTTGAAACTGACTCCAACCTAAAATGGGTTGCCCATTCAAGAAGAAGGAATAAGAAGAGAAAGGCTAACTCTTCTCCAGAAATCAGCAGCGAATTACCAAAACCTGACAACTCAAAAAAAGTAGAAACTTCGAAGAATAAGAATGACGATCCCACAACGACTACAATTAGCAAAAGGCTTGAAGACAAAACTAACTCAGTGGCTCAGGATACGGCTCTTGATTATAAATCTAGAGAAAGAAAACCTCCGCCTATAAATATTGTTGGAATTGACGACTATAAAAAAATAAAAAATCTGCTAGTTAGCACCACAAATAAATATAAAATCAAGCCATTAAACAACGAAGTTTGGAAAATTAACGCTGAGGCTCCTAATGATTATAGAGCCTTGGTCAACAAGCTCGAAGAGACTGGTTATCAGTGGTTCACATATGAGAACAAAAATGATAGACCAATAAGGGTTATGGCTAGGGGACTCCACTGGTCATCTGATCGTATGGAAATCATTGATGAGCTGCTTAGACAAAACTTCAGAATTGAAGATGCAGTTAACATTATTAAAAAAGAAAATCAAACCAAAGAAAATGGTGAAAAGGTCACCCATGTTAAAAAGTTTCCCTTGTTTATGTTAACATTCAACAAAAATGAGAGTATAGAGAAGATATATAAAATCGGATCTATTCTGGGCATTACTGTGAGAATTGAACCAATAAGGAAGAATACAAATTCTACTCCACAATGTAAACGATGCCAGGCCTACGACCACACACAAAAATACTGCAAAAAGACTCCTAGATGCGTTAGTTGTGGGAAAGAACATGACTCTGCTTCTTGTACCCTCAGTAGAAACTTACCTCCAACGTGTGCTAACTGTGGTGGAAATCACCCAGCGAATTACCGGGGCTGCGAAGTAGCGAAGGAATTCCAAAAGCGTAGAAATAGAGCTGTTGCAATCAAAAAAAGATCACAAATCAATAACCCAGAAAGTCAGAAGACTCTTCGTTTGGAGCACGTAAACCTACAAAAATTCGACAAAAATGAGGTGTCCAGCGGCAGTCACATCAATGGAACAACGAAAACTTTTGCTCAAGTTGCCAAAGAAAATTTGAAGTCAAATACTCCAGCGAAGATAACTTTAGAATTAATATATAATAAACTGCAGCAGCATGAAATTTTAGAAAAAAGCTTATGCCAGCGGCTAGATAAAATAGAAAATAAAATTAACATGATGCATTATAATAAATGACCCATACATTAAGAATAGCGGCATGGAATGCAAACGGATTACTTAATCATGTCCATGAGCTAGAAGTTTACCTACATAACGAGGAAATAGACATTGGTTTAATTTCTGAAACTCATTTCACTGACGAATCATATTTAAAAATACGAGGATATGAGTCTTATTCTGCTACCCATCCCGAAAACAAAGCCAAAGGGGGTTCATTAGTGCTGATTAAGGATAACTTGGAGCATCAGCCAGTTATTGCAATAGAAAAGGAAACCATGCAGATTGCTTCAGTTATAGTGAGAGCCAAAAACAAAAACATTAAAATTGCGGCCATTTACTGTCCCCCGAAACATAATTTAAGACAATCAGAATATAAACAGATGCTTGAAGAGCTTGGCAACAGCTTCGTTATAGGTGGAGACTTCAATGCAAAACATGTCTTCTGGGGCTCCAGACTGACTACACCTAAGGGCAGGGCCCTCTTTGAGGTGGGCAATGAAATGAAATGTTCTTTTCTCTCTACTGGAAGACCAACATATTGGCCTTCTGATCCCAAAAGACTGCCTGACATCGTGGATTTCTTCATAGTTAAAGGAGTATCTGAAAATTACCTTAGTATAGAGGGCAAATACGATCTAAATTCTGATCATTCGCCAATAATATTAACTGTAAGTGAAACGATTATTCTGGTTGACGATCCACCGAGGCTAACAAATAAATCAACTAACTGGACAGAGTTCAAAAACGAGCTAAATAATTCAATTAACCTTCGGGTTCCACTACAAAATGAATTCCAACTGGAAGAGGAACTCGACTTATTTGTCTCTAAAATTCAAAGCGCTGCCTGGAACAACACCACAATTAAAAATAAATTAACCACCAACAAGATAAACTATCCCATTGAGATCAAAAAACTAATCAAAGAAAAACGAAAAGCTCGCAAAACTTGGCAAATGTCTAGATCACCAGCGGATAAACAGAAACTTAACCTCCTAAGCAATAATTTAAAGGCTCTACTAAAAGATATAAGAAATCAATCCATCTCAAATCGGCTTCAAAATTTGTCAGCTGAACAAGATACGGATTACTCGCTGTGGAAAGTTACTAGGGGTATCAAAAGACCACGAACTCAGAATCCACCTATCAAAAAAGACGACAACTCATGGGCTATTTCTAATCAAGAAAAAGCAGACATTTTTGCGGACTACTTAGAAAATATATTTAAACCCTTTCCAGGACAATTCAACTTAGAAGCTACCCAAGAGTGTGCCTCACCTGAGACATTACGACTCCGAAGAATTACTCCGGGAGAACTAAAAAGAGAGATCAGCTCCACCAGAAATAAAAAAGCACCTGGATATGACCTGATCACAAGCGAGGTCCTGAAACAACTTCCACAAAATGCTCTGAAAATGCTCCTTTTCCTATGTAATGCAGCTCTTCCCTTAAATTATGTTCCACGCCAATGGAAAACGGCAGAAGTTTTGGTTGTGGTAAAGCCAGGGAAGCCAATAAATGAGATGACATCCTATAGACCCATTTCTCTCTTGCCAATTATGTCCAAGATTTTTGAAAGACTTGTTCTTAATCGAATGAAGCCAGTAATTTAAGAAAGAAATCTTATTCCAAGTCACCAATTTGGCTTTCGATGCAAACACTCCACCATCGAC